ATATATATATATATAACATATATATACATATAAATGTGAGAAGCTCGCAGTGTGCGGTGAAATCCGAGTAAGCATATTCAGTCCAGGAGAGGGTCCTGAGCATACTTGGATTTGTCTCTTTTTATAAACAGAATGATTAAAATAAAAATGTACTTACAAGAAGATGATTTGTTGTTCCTCAAAACTGATCCCTCTACCTGTCGGGTACTTATAGTGTTCAGACTTTTGAACCCCTTACCACTGGTACCCACCGGCCCTTTAAGGGTTCAGAGGCAGGTAAGCAGGCTCCTGGTCATGTGATCAGCTGTCACAGTGGTCACGTGATCGGAAACCTGTCCTCCTGACTCCTGAGCTGTGTGGTCCGGCTCTATGCATACAGTATATGTGTGACAGCCGAGCATTAAACCCCCTGCCGTGCTGCCCCTATATATGTGTACGCCCGCTGGCAAGGTGTTAAGATGCAATAAATGATGTGCAGCTAGCATAGGTACAAGTCTGTATTCATGTTATGTCCCTCTAATCCCCTGCTCAGCATGACCCAGAATGGGAGAAGTAGCAGAATGCGGTCCAGTCAGACTCTACTTCATTGCACAATGGTATCAGTCTAACACAGGGATTATGCTGACGGCAAGAGAAAGAAGTGTGATGACCTCATTGTGTGCTGCTGCTCCATGACTGTCTAACGGGGTGACTGCGGTTGGATCGGCGGCCAAACTTATTTTGTTAAACCGCAGTGGAGAAAAGTCCGTTCTATCCAGCAGGGGCGCCTGGTTCACAAGACTGGCTGAACAGAATGACAAATCCTTTGGCAGGTAATACAGATCACATCCGTGTATTAAAGGAGAACTATGCGGTTAGGGCTTTTCCCCATAGTTCTCCTTAGGGTAACGGGAGGACACAAACTAGCGTCCTCCCGTCACCCTAAGCTCAGTATATAGGGAGCTACAACTCGCGGTATACTGAGACGCCGCAGCTGAAACGGATCCCGACAATTATGTCTGCATCTGCCCAGCTGCGTGACTGACAGCTGGCTCTGCCTATCTAGAGGCAGAGCCAGCTGTACCCGCCCCCTCCCCCGGCCGTTCCTCCAGTCAGCGCTGGCGGATCGGAGGGGGGAATCCAGCCCCAGAGTGAAAAGCCCCCCCCCCCCCCCTCATAGTTCTCCTTTAAGCTCTCTGCCTAGAATTCAGAGTTCATTGCTCTGAAATATTAGCACTCCAGCGGAACTACAAATCCCATGATACATTGCAAGACTCTTGTCAGCCACAGGCATGACTCGCAGAGGCAGATGATGGGATTCATAGTCTCACCACAGCTGGAGTGCCGAGATTGCCTATGCCCCGCCCCCAGCAGAATGACAGATCCTTTGTATTGCATTGTGTATTAGGCGGTCGGCATGAAGTTCAGCGGTAATTGTTCTTCACACATCAGGTAAAACAAACAAAAAGCTGATTTGATGAGAAAATTCTTCATGTGCTTCATTTATCAAGTTCTACAAACCACACAGAACCGTCTATTGGCAGCCTGCCCCATGGAGCTTACAATCTAGTCACCCGACCAACCCCTGAGGGAGAGACTCGCAGAGAGCGGCGTGACATCATTACATGAACAATCCCCCCACACGTGACGTCATTACATGAACAATCCCCCCACACGTGACGTCATTACATGAACAATCCCCCTACACGTGACGTCATTACATGAGCAATCCCCCTACACGTGACGTCATTACAAATAATAATAATAACAATACATTTAAAAAGAATAATAAATGGTTTATCTTTATATTTAGGTGCCATTCACACTATGATGCTCATAAAAATGGTGTAAAAATGCATCTGCATTGTTCTGCATTCATATTCCCTGATGTTTGTGCGTTTACCTGCATTCTTAAAGCCGTATCTTCATCTTATCTTTATCATATTTGTATTTTCATCTTTATCTTTAATTATCTTTGTTACTATTTTGAACAGCCAGTATAAACAAATGATGGTGCACAAACAATATGGGTTTAACCAATCATTTTTCTCTAATAAATCCCTAATGGTCCACATAACTGTGGGCGTGTCAGGGGTGTGTCCATTTCCTACATGTAATTGTGGGCGTGTTAGGGGTGTGTCCATTTCCTATATGTAACTGTGGGCGTGTTAGGGGTGTGTCCATTTCCTATATGTAACTGTGGGCGTGTTAGGGGTGTGTCCATTTCCTATATGTAACTGTGGGCGTGTCAGGGGTGTGTCCATTTCCTATATGTAACTGTGGGCGTGTCAGGGGTGTGTCCATTTCCTATATGTAACTGTGGGCGTGTCAGGGGTGTGTCCATTTCCTATATGTAACTGTGGGCGTGTTAGGGGTGTGTCCATTTCCTATATGTAATTGTGAGCGTGTTAGGGGTGTGTCCATTTCCTATATATAACTGTGGGCGTGTTAGGGGTGTGTCCATTTCCTATATGTAACTGTGTGTTAGGGGTGTGTCCATTTCCTATATGTAACTGGGCGTGTGAGGGGTGTGTCCATTTTCTATATGTAACTGGGTGTGTGTCCATTCCCTATATATAACTGTGGGCGTGTCAGGGGTGTGTCCATTTCCTATATATAACTGTAGGGGTATGTCCATTTCCTATATGTAACTGTGGGCGTGTCAGGGGTGTGTCCATTTCCTATATATAACTGTGGGCGTGTTAGGGGTGTGTCCAATGGACTTTGCAAAAATAACTAACAAATTGAAGCTGAACTCCGGGATAATCCAATATTGTCCTCCTACAAGAGTCATGTGTATTCTTCCTGAATCTCGGTGAGCTTTGTGTATGTCTTCCAGATCTGTGCAGTGATCCAGTGTGAGACTTCCTGTAATAAAGACCGGTCACTGCTGCTCTCTCTCCAGAGGGTGCAGTGTGACTGGTCTGGTCTCCGCCCCCTCCTGTAACTTGGTGTATCTCTTAATTGTATAATAATTTAATTATATTAATTGTAGTTGACCCTTATGAAGGGTGCCATTTTAATCATGTTATTGTTACTACTAAAGCATATTTTTTTTATGTTGAAATCATGCTTTTGGTCGCCGTTACTGAGAAGGCATGTCCTTGTAGTGACTGGTCTTGTCTCCGCCCCCTCCTGTAATAAAGACCGGTCACTGCTGCTCTCTCTCCGTGTGCAGGGTGACTGGTCTGGTCTCCGCCCCCTCCTGTAATAAAGACCGTTCACTGCTGCTCTCTCTCCGTGTGCAGGGTGACTGGTCTGGTCTCCGCCCCCTCCTGTAATAAAGACCTTCACTGCTGCTCTCTCTCCGTGTGCAGGGTGACTGGTCTGGTCTCCGCCCCATCCTGTAATAAAGACCGCTCACTGCTGCTCTCACTCGGTGTGCAGGGTGACTGGTCTTTTCTCCGCCCCCCTCCCTTAGTTTCCTGTAGTGGGTGGGGCCTGATGGGGCCCCTCCCACAGCTCTGCTCTCTGCACAGACTATACACAGCACGGTGATGATGTCCCTGCTACTTACAGCTTGGTCTCTTAGAGAAGGATAAAAGATAAGAGTCGGATCTCCAGCTGATACAATCATGTTACAGAGGATGACAAAGCCGTCAAAGCGTCAC